GAGTCTAGAATGACGAGTGTTAAGTTTCGAGAAAATCGATTCAGATTTAGATGAAGGTCCGATATATAGTTTTGTTCAATTTATTGGAGTTGGTCCATATATATTTCGATTTGCATAGTGTACTGTATTGAGGCTAGAATGATGTGTGTCAAGTTTCGAGATAATCGGTTCAGATTTAGATGAGATCCATATATATGTTTGTCCGATTTAAGGTAAATGGAGCACCAAAGTCCCTACATATCTTTCGATTTGCACGAAATTTGGCACGGTGTACTCAATTGAGTCTAGAATGACGTGTGTTAAGTTTCGAGAAAATCGGTTCAGATTTGGATAAAGCTACCATATCTGGTTTTGTCCTATTTTTAGTAAGTGGTGCACCAAATTCCCTATATTCAATTTGCACGAAATTTTGCATTGGGTAAAATCGGTTTAGATTAGGATTTAAGTTCGTTCAATTTCATGCCAATGTTACTTCGAGAAGGCGACATCTGTTAGGATACATATTTAGAATACACCCAAAGTGATGAAGGGTATCATATAGTTGGCCCAGTCCGACTTTACTATTTTCCTTACTGGTTTATATTAGAACAGTTATCTGATTTGTTCCGCTTTTTTGGTTTGGTTCTAAGACTCGGATGTAATCATTTCACCTTCGGAGGATATCGAGATAAAAAACTGTATATGAACTATAACCCGCATTTAGGCCTAGCCCCTGTGGAGGGAGGTACCAGAAGGAATGGACCAATATTCCTCATCCTCGAACTTGAACTATGTTTGGAAGAAATACTATGATGTTATAGTTTTGATGAAATCAAAATTTTCTAAAACGGATTTGGTCCAAAGAACAAGGTGTCTAGAACCAATATTTCGATTAGGCACATTTTCACCATATCAAAGTGTATAGAACCTCATTAGCCATAAGGCTGAGGGTATAGTTATCCATAAAAAAATTTCCGAAATTTGTATTATGGTTTATATAATGGGTTTGTAGAAATGCCGGTATAGGTCGACTTTTAAGTATTTTCCCTTTATTTTCATTTCAAGTACCTGTCAGTATATCTATGGTGGAGGGTATCCAAAGTTCGGCCTGGCCGAATTTAATGCTTTTTCACTTGTTTTTATTTACCAATATTTCTAATACTTGAAACATAGGTCTGTATGTCGTCTTTATTTTTTTTTATTTCACGCACACACCAGACCAACTGACCGACAATAATAAATATTTAAATATGCAGCAACAGCAGCAGCAACATTTGAACAATTTGTATTCAAGGTGTGCAAGTTTGTTTGGGTGTCTACCCTACCGTCTACCAGTCATCAGCCTATACGGCCGGTTAATGGCAATTGTTGTTGTTGTTTTTGCTGTTTTTCAATATTGTATCTAATATTCAATCATCGAAGTCAAATAGTCTGTCCACTTCAGTTTACACGCAATAAACGATTCTGCATATGGCAAAGCGACGATTGAAAGATACGCCTAAGTGGTTCGGGTTTGATACTCCCCAACAATGGGAGACTTAGCCGAAAAAAAAATAAAAAAAAACAAACAAAAATAAAAAAACGATAACAAAAAAAAAAACAAATAAAAATTTATTAATGAGTGTGTATTCAATTTTAATCCCCAAATTATGTGTGTGGGAAATTTTGAGATGTAAGTTAATTGAATATCATAGGTTGGTCCCGTATTTTATGGATACCTAGAGGTTATAATGGTGTTATCCTGATAATCTAGTACATATATTTTCCTCGTCTAGGCGGTAGATCTCAGTTTAGACCCCAAATACTAAAGTAGATAATCTAATTTGTAATTAGTTGGGAAGAGAATACAGGCTTAATTACAATGAGCCCAGTTTTTTTTGCTTTTATTTATCAGAAACATTTATAAAACCTGAGTTGTTGTTTTTTGTTGCTGTTGTTTTTGTTAATACCACGCATGCGTGAAGGTATAAAAAAAAATTAAAAAAAAACAATATTTTGTTGTGACAGCCTAAATTGCAGTAGTCTCTCCTAACACATTGTCAAACATAGAGCAGAGGGGTGTTTGGTGGTTTAACAGATTGGTGGTACCCCCACCGCCTATCCAACCACCAATCCAATGAATGGCAGTGAATGAAATTTATGCATTTTGTCACTTTGTTAGAGAACGTGATAGCGTCACGAGCTTACACACACACATATATATTCATACGTTTGGTTGTGGGCCACCTACCTACATCAGCATAGCTGCTTACCGGATGGTTAATGACAGTAACATTTTAATGACTCTCAGAAAAAAAACAAAACGCAATTCAACTTCATAAGCTGGAACAGTGAATGAAATTCGTTAATTCATGGACTGACAATGACAACAACAAAAACAACAGATTTTTTCTATTAGATTGTAATCATGAGGTCATGAAAATTTATAATATATAAAACAAGGGAGAAAAAAATACGTTAAGTACATCTTGCCCGATCTCTGCCATTGCCTCCACCATAGGGTGAACATTTAAAATATCCCGAAATCCCCAAAAAGCTATGGAAATACCTTTATATGGGATCTACCCTAATAAAGTGTACCAATTGGATAGTTTTGGGTATGGAGATTTTCTACCCACTGATAATCTCAAATACTAATTAACAGCAAAATTTCGTAAAAACGTGCCCAAAATCCTTAAATTACCGAAATTTGGCTGGTACTATTATATGGGGGCTATCAGAAAAATTTTTGCAATATTGCTCATTTGGTAGAAATCCGGTTACAAATTCCTAAAATACTAAATATATGGGCATACCGTTAAATGGTGTGGGGCGTCTATACCGATACATCCCATTTTCAGCATCCAACATTCTAGGAGAACCCGAAATACCCGAACTTATAACCACTTTCGTTGAAAATGCAGATACAAAGCAGTGAGCGGAGCAGTATAGTCGGACGGGGCCAATCATACGATACCCTACATAACTACCACGGAACTCTAACTTTCTGCGGATGTTTATTCCGTCTAGGTAATATTTCGTGACATTTGCCCCCTCTTGCCCGATTAGAGGTGAACAGCACTTCTTCCTTACATTTTCGAATTTGCAGTACAGCTCTTCTAATTACATGTCCTGATTCCCTTCACGGTGTTGTGTTGTTATATTCGAGTCGAAAACACACAAAAACAATTAAGTTTTCGGTCCATTTCATCCCAAAATTTTATTCTGATCATCAGCGAAAATTATAGGCGTTGTCCTTGACCATAACTGGAACTTCATGGAAAATTTCACATCAATCAGCGCTATATTTCCGCCCTCTAATGTGGTAATGGGTTACTAAATAATATCTGAATACGTAAGCACCCGCAAATATTTACGTGTAACTCCCACATCCGAGTACATACGACAATATAATTGGTATCAATTTAAAGGTCAACCACTCCTCTTGGATACACTATCAACTTCTCGGGTATATATGCTTCTGGAGTAAATATATACGCCATAGAATACAAATTTTGTCATTTTTCACCCAAAAGTCAGGTCCATTTGACCCGCTAAATAATGACTGATCTTTATCAAAGCAGGCATGCATTTTCTTTGGCTCAATCCTCTTCTCCATGTAAAATTTCGCGATGTTCGGGCCATAGTTGCGGCCTCTAGAGCGACCAGAAAAACCGTCAAAAATTATGTATTTGGTCCATATCATCCCATAAATATTAACCGATATTTAGCAATATAGGTCTTCATTGGCCAAAAACCCATCCTATATGCACAATTTCGTAATGATTGATCCATAACTGAGCCTGTATCGTGTTTACAAATTATAATGGACAGACGGACGGACGGACACACATGTGTAGATCGACTCAGCTAGTCGATATCAATATTTCGTGGGTTGCAAACTCTTGGGGCTGCACAAGGCTATAATACCCTGACAACATAGTTGTGTAGGGTATAAATATAGTTTACCTACTGAGATATGGAAATCGAAAACTTGGATTAAAAAATACGTCTTGGACCAAGACACTCAAGGAGGGATTTCACCAAAATATGGACCTAATATTAAAATTTACTTCGATGAGGTGAAAATCTGAAATTTTCAAACTTTAGACAATTAATCTCAAAAAATACAATCCTTAATGTTATGAAAAAATATCCTATAAAAAATATTGTCTTTTTTTAAATCGACTCATATGTCCTTGAACAAATATTCTAAAAACTCCGTTCCTATTTTGGTCCATGGAAAATACTAAAAACTCTCTCCAATTTTAGACTTTGAAAAAATAAGAAAAATATTAATCCTATCAAAAACCTTGAATACAATAGTCCTCGGGAAAATGTTCCTTAAAAATCGACGCCTATATAGGTCCTTGGCCAAATATTCTTTTAACAAATTCGCGCTTTAATAGCCCTTAAAAAAATAAAATATTTTTATTGAAAAACCTCATAATCCACCTATGTTTAATCCTTGAAAATTATTTTTTAAAAATCCTAATCTATGCTTGTTCCTGACAAAGAATTGAATTGAAAAACCGTGTTGTTAAGTATAAAAAATTGATGAAAAATATATCAGCGGGCTTCAAGATACAAAACGTTTTAAATTAATTTAGAAAGTATTTATTGAGAACAAAAATTGATTAATTGTACATATATTTCGTTATAGTATTTACTAAATAATTTATTGAGAACAAAAATTGATTTTTTTTTGTAAACGGCTTCAAATATTCACACTTTTTAAATTAAATATGTTAAAAAATAAATTATAAATTTGTTTAATAATTATTTTTAAATTTAAATTATATATATCTTAAATATTATTTATCTCCTATTAATTCCAATATTTTCTTCTTCATTGTTTCTTGCAGGTTTTCTATTTGGACCATTTGAAAAATTCTATGCACAACACGCCACAAAAATAACGATAGAGCTTTTATAGTTTTCTGAATTATCCCAGAGCTGGTCAAGCTCTTCCCTTACTCCAAATAATTTACACAATTAAATTAGTTACACAAATCGGAGCATAGTACGAACAAACAGAACAAGAACAAAAAAATAGCTTTCATCATGGGAGCAACAAAGCCCAGAGTCAATAAGACTCTAATATCATTGAAAGTTGTGGCTTTCTTTGTATTAAGTGGTAAGTATTTAAAAAAAAGTGCACAAATATTTTTCAAACTCGTATTTTTGTAAATTATATTATTTATTTTTCTAAACTTCAGGTCTCACCGCCCTGCACATTGTCAACAGCCAGAAACCCTTAACATTGGGTCTATATTTCTCGGAATATCGTGAGGTAACAATTATTGCCTCATTTGTGGCCATATTGGGTCCGCTAATTGTTGGCCCCTTGGCCGATCGTGTGGCCGCAAAAAATCCCAATAGCTTTGGTCGTTTCCTGAGAATTCTCACCGCGATCTGTCTGATTATCACCAGCATCATTTATGCCTGTCTGATTGCCGTGCCAAGTGTGGCACGCCAAGAAGATCATCTACCCCTGGTGAGTTTTGCCTGTGACTCAAATGGCGCTGTAATGTTCCAAGAGAGTTGTAGCGGTGAATCAAGCTGCCGTCATTGGGATAAAAAAGTTGGTAGCTTGGATTTGACAAATTGCACCTACACCTGCCAGAATCCCAATCAATATGAAAATATGTACACGCCCTGGTTGGAAAGTATACCGACACCATCTCCCTCCACAGAACATAGTTCGGAATTTGATTATGAAGATGATGCCTCAACGGCGGTCACAGAAAGTTTGCGGGCACGTCGTAGTGCGGAACAGTCAGCGGAATTTAATGGTGGGGAATTGATTAGTGCTGAGGTTAACTCGAGAAAAACAAGGGCTGCCAAATCCGCACCCAGCAAGGTGTATGTTGAACCACCACACATTTGTATGACAGCCAAGGATGAGCAGGGTAATGATTATATCAAGAACTGTCATGTCTACACAGATGATACATCGAGCATTAATGTCCATACGGTAATGCATGCAGCCACAAATGTAGAAAATGAAACCCATTCTGCTGATTGGTGTCATTATCCTTTGGGTAAGTTTGTTTCTGAGGCGGTTTGATACGCAAAATGATCTGGGTAATTCAGTTTGTTCCATAGTACCCTTTAGTCCAATCGTTCAACGTTGAAGATCTAGTTGATCGATTAAATGAAAAGGAATGGAGCGAAAGAACTGGATCTAGTACCAGTCTTTCCTCTTGTGGAATAATTCCTTTGAACTAGTTCGTTCCGGAACGATTATGATTCGGAGATTATTTTATTGAGAACAAAATTTAATTGCAGTTCCTTTTTTCCTTTTGGGGAATTTTATTGAGAACAAAAATTAATTGTTTCGGGGGGTTTCCTTGAGAACAAAAACTGATTGCGGGTTTCCCTTTTCTTTAGGGAAATATTTTATTGAGAACAAAAATTAATTCGTGTTTCTTTTCTTTTCCAGAGGGTTTCCAATGCCACATACCAGTGCAACAGGTCAATTATATGCTGGAGCTGAAAAATGGTTCCGACTGCACGCCAATGATTGAATGTCAAATTAGAAATCCCTATCACGCCAAGGGTGGTTTAATGGCCCACACTGAATGCGTCACGACGACAGGAGATATTGCAGAAACTATGGGTGGTTATATGGCCATACGGATCTTGGGTGATATCTTTGCCTTGGCTTCGTTCACCCTCCTCAATACGGCCATTGTGATTGCTGTTCGCGAAACCTCCGAGGGACGTGGTGAAGTGTGCCGCCAATATGCCTGGGGTGCTGTGGGTTATGTTCTACTCTTCAGTCCCTTGAAATTGATTTTCGATGATGCGGCTGGTGTGGATGTGGTGTTGATTGTTTTGATCATCTGTTTCTTAATTGGTTCGGCTGTGTTACTCTTTGCCTCGCAAATGCCCTTGAGTCCTCCGGAATGGTGGTGGCACACAAAGACCGGAATGTTAGTATATCCCATGTCAGCCATTAGAAAATATAGTCCGGAAATATTTGTTCTAACCTTGGTGGCCATACTCTTTGGTACCTTCTGGGGCAGTATTCATTCATATTTGTATTGGTCGTTCATTGGAGATTACACGGTGTATTTCGGAAGCTTGTTGCTGGTTTTGGTCTTATTCTTGAATGTCGATAAGTTCATTGAATACTGTGGCCATTCGAATATTTTCATTGCCGGCTTTGCCATGTACATCATCCGCTTTACAGCCTTTGCCAGTTTGGATACGAAGTGGTTGACAAATCTAATGGAGATCTTTGAACCTGTGATTATTGGAATTATTTGGATTACCATAATTCTGTATATGCGCCACGCCATGCCCCGCAAGCTAACAGCCACTGGCCAGGCAATTGCCATTGTGGCCTTCTTTGGCTTGGGTAAAGGTTTTGGTGCCCTCATCAGTTTGGTCCATGATGATGAGTCCAGTTTCTACACAGAAGATGATTGCATTAAATTCGAATGGTTGGCCGTGGCGGCCTGTATTGTGGCCCTCACATATTTTGTTATCTACAATTTAATTTTGGCACCTCGCTGTGCTGCCAAACCGGTACATCTGGATGATTTAATATCGGGATCGGCATCACAAACCTTTGCCAATGGTGCTGGCGCTGGTAATGGCGGTAGTACTGGTCTAACAAATGGTGCTGGAAATGGAACGGGTAGTAGTTATTCGCCGCTGCGTGTCTATCACAATGAACGTGGAAAGAAGGGACAATTTAGATATTAAATGTGAGAAAAGAGATATTAGGAAGGAGAAGAATTAAAAAAACTATTTAAGTTACCGAATGCAAACCATCCACCCATACACTCAGATGATATTACATATACAAACACACATACATACACAGAAACCACCAATACACACACATTAAAAATAAGGAAAATAAAATATTTTTTTGTTTTAATTATAATTTTTAAAACATTTTTATAAGAATGAAAAGAGACAAAAAAACAAAAACGAAAATTATTTAAGGAGGTCAGGGTGAGATAGAGAAATCTCTGGAGGATTTCGAAGTATAGACAAAATATCAATAACACGCCATCGGTAAAAAATCCACCCTAAGGACTTTTTTACAATATTTTTCAGGGAGAAATCAAGACGTGGGAATTAAAAAAAATATATATTTTCAAAGAAAAATCGATGCGTGAATTTTTTCCAAATATATTTTTCAATCCATTGAGATCCTCAATCTTTAAAGAGCATCCTCTTTTGGCCTTCTTCCTTAACCTCAAAATGGCATAATGGTATGCGCTTTGTTTATGGTTTCTAAGAGCTATGCACTGGGCAATGTTAGCCCCCATAAAATGATAAACAAACAAATCAACAATTCACTTTGAATTGTTAGACTAAAAACTTTATTTTTGATATTAAAACAAAGAGTTCATAAATTGTTATTTTTTATCTAAAAAATATTAAGGATTTTTTAAAATTTTTTTAATAATAAATAAGGAAAAACAAATAAAAACACCTCTTTTTTGTGTAATTAAAAATCCGCGCACTCCTACTCAAGAATGAAAATAGTAATAACCTACAATCAAAATAACATCTATTTGTGTTCAAATAGTCTGCCATCTATGAATATATATTTTTTAAAATGTTTTATTTTTATTAATAATTTTATTATTTTTTTATAATAATATTTACAATTTAATTATGATTATGTTTTTTTGTATTTTATATTTTCCTCTCCATTTCTTCTACCAAACTAATAATTATAGACGTTTTTTAATAAGCTCTACATTTTAAGATAATAATTAAAAAAAAACCCCAAGCAACAGACAATTTATAAAAGAAAACCCAAAATCTCTTTGAGAAAAAAGATTAAAATATTTTTATATAAAATAAATATTTATTGGCATTGAAATATTTTAGCTGGACAAATAAAAAGAAAAACAAATAATAACACATATTTACGCCTGCTATATATGTATGTACGTATTTTTCTAAATCTATGTATAATTCAATGAAATGAATCAAAAAAAAATGGAAACAAGCAACTTGTAATCAGTATCTAAATCGCAGAAAAAATTTATTAATTGTTAAGCTCATTCTAAAAAAATTATAAGAAAATGAACAACAACAAACATTTTAAAAGGAAAAATTCAAATGAAATAAAAACAAAACTGAAATAAAAAAGTGTTCTTCTTTTATTTGGGCGGAATTAAAAATAAAATATTTAAAATATTTTAAAATTAAAAAATAGCAATTTAAAGAAATCCACGCCTGAATGGACCCTATTTTTATACCCTTCACCACACTGTGATACAGGGTATTATGTCTTTGTGCATATGTTTGTAACAGGCAAAAGGAAACGAGATAGACCCATAGTTCCTTTTGAGAATATGCATAGAATCACTTTCTGAGTCGATTTATGCATGTCCGTCCGTCTGTCCGTCAGTTGGTGTTAAATTGTAAACAAAGTACAGGTCGCATTTATAATCCGATTTGGATGGAATTTGGATGGCCCAAGGACGAACCCTAATGAAATTGGGAAAAATCGGTTCAGATTTAGATATAGCTCCCATATATATTTTCGTTCGATTTAATGTAAATGATGTACCAAAGTCCCTATATATCTTTCGATTTGCACGAAATTTGGCATAAGGTAGTGAATTGAGCATAGAATGACGTCTGCCAAGTTTGGAGAAAATCGGTCCCGATTTCGATATATCTCCCATATATAGTTTCGTCCGATTTCATGTAAATGGTGCACCAAAGTCCCTACATATCTTTCGATTTGCACGAAATTTGGCATAACGTACTGAATTGAGCATAGAATGACGTCTGTCAAGTTTCGAGAAAATCGGTCGATATAGCTCCCATATAGTTTCGTCCGATTTCATGTAAATGGCGCACCAAAGTCCACATATGTCATTCGATTTGCACGAAATTTGGCATAGCGTACTGAATTGATGCTGAAATGATGTGTGCTGATTTTCGTAAAAATCGGTTCAGATCTAGATATATATATTCGTGCCAAGTTTCGTGAAAATCAGTTGAGAGTTAGAAATAGCTCCCTTACATTATAGATTGATTTGAAGTAATTGACGCACCAAGGAAGCAATATATGGCTGAAAACGTCCCGAAACTAGTATAACCTAACCTGTGGATATAGCTTCCATATATATTTTCGTCCAATTTTAAGTAAATTGTGCATCAAACTCCTCATGTTTGTCAAGTTGGCATCAAGTTTTGCACAACGTACACAATTGAGCCTAGAATAACGTATTTGTTTGAATTCGAATTACATACTTTTGTCCCATTGTAACAAACGAATGACATGTTTATGGATAGATCTAGGTCGATTCACATTTAGATAAATATCACATATTTTATTTCATCCAATTTCATGTTTAATATACCCATAGTGGTGAAGGGTATCATATAGTCGGCCCCGTCCGACTTTACTACTTTCCTTACTGGTTTTAATTATGATATCAAGGCGTGAATTTTTGTAAGCAGAAAATCAGACGTAGATTTAAAAAAAATATTTTTAAGTAAAAATTGGAGTGGATTTTTTAAAAATATTTTTTTTTTTTTCAAATTAGTGACTAAAAATTCCATCTTAAGAATGAATGTGACGTCAGAAGAATCCTGAAGATGAACGATTTCCCACAATGAAATATAAAAGACCTCATAAAATGTGTTAAATCCAACAAAGTTAAACATATTGAACCAAAGCCAGTAAAAACATATCGGAGATCAACATATGTACTTGGTTTTTCCGAACGTTTTTCCAAATCAAATTTATACAACAAAGACGAATACCAACTAGCTTTAAAGAGCAGCAATACAAACAACAAATTCTTCAGCAGGACAAAATCGCAGATTTCCACACATGACATAATCCAATCTTAATATATAAAAGAGCTTAGTGTTAAGTGAGTGAGTGAGTGACTAACAGATCATCGCCTAGACGAAACGGCTGAAGCTAGAAGCTTGAAAATTTGAGTGCGGGTTGTTGTGGTGTGTAGAAAATTCGAACTAGAAGTACTAAATTGTACCAAATATGGTACCCATTGTATTAGGCGAACGGGAAGAGCTAGAATTCTGAAATTTGTAATGTGGGTCACTGATGGAGTGTTAGAAAGGTGTACAAAAGGGTTTTTGGAAATTCGAACTATAAGTGTAAGAAAAGTACTAAACTTTCCTAAATTTAGTTCCAATTGCATATATATTGAACATATATAGCTAGAATCTTGAAATTTTACATGGAATGCAGGTTGGGAATTCGTGTTGATGTATGAAAATGGTTTAAGAAATTCGTACTAATGTGTATAAAAAGTACAAAATGACATTTAGTTGAGGGTATAGAGATGGAGTCCTATGAATTAGGACTACTATTGGAGTACAGGAATGAGGTACCTTTAAAAAATCGTACCATTTAGTACTTTTCGTACACATTGGTACTAAATTTGGTGCAATTTGGATTTAGGTGAACAGATAGAGCTGGAGTCTTCAAATTGGGAATTAAAATGATTGTTGGAGTGTCAGATTGAGGCAGTTTACCAAATTCGTACTTATTGCTACGAAAAGTGCTATATGGTACTAAATTTAGTACAATTTGGATTTTGCTTGAATGGATAGAGCTGAAAAGCTGAAATTTGGAATGTTTACGAAAAGTACTAAACGGCACTAGATTTGGTACAATTTGGATTTCGGTGAATGGAGAGAGCTGGAAACCTAAAATTTGGAATATAGAATTGAGATATGGAAGCATAGTACTTATGTGTACTAAATGGTACTATATATGTGGTACAACTTAATTATGTGTGAATGGATAGAGATGGACTCCAGAATTTTCGAATTAAAATTAATCTTGGAGGGTAGGAAAAAGTACTAACTGGTACCAAATGGTTTACAATTTGTTTTTGTGTGAACGGATAGGGCTGAGATCCTGAAATTTGAATTAATATAACAGTTTGAGTGCAGAATTGCGATATGTTGGTAGTTTTGAAAATTGGCTAAGTGGTACTAAATTAAAATTAAGGATTGGATTGGATTGTAGGATGAGACATGGAGTTAGTTTTAAAAATTCGTAAATATGTGTACTAAATGGTACTAAGTTTAGTACAATTTAGATTCGAGTAAAAGGATAGAGATGAAAAACTTATATTTGAAAATAAAATTACTGTTAGAGTACAGGATCGAGACAGTGTTGGAAATTCGACACATAAGTATGAAAAGTACTAAATATGGTAAAATTTGGATCTACGTGAACGGATAGGGTTGGGATCTTGAAATTTGTCATTAAAACTAATTTTGGAGTGTGAAATTGAGAAGTTTTAGAAACTCGTACTAACGTCTACGAAAATTAATAAATTGTACTAAATTTGATACAATTTGGATGTAGGTGAACGGATAGAGCTGGAATACTTAAATGTGCACTTAAGGTTATTATTGGAGTGCATGACTAAGTTAGTTTTGGAAATTCGTACTTTTGGGTATGAAAAGCACAAAATTTTGTACAGAATTTTGGAAAAAAAATTACTTTTGGAGTGTAGGACTGACGTAATTTAGAAAATTCTTAATTATAGAAACAAAAAGTACTAAACGGTACCAAAAAGTTAACAAATTGTTTTTGTGTAAACGGATAGGATTGAGATCCTGAAATTTTGAATTAATATTACAGTTGGAGTGCAGGATTGATATGTTGGTAGTTTGTGTACTAATTGGTACAAAATTTGGTACAATTTAGATTTGAGTAAACGGATAGAGATGAAAAACTTTAATTTGGAATTACGAAAAATTGTCCAGGCTGGGAATAAAAGAAAATAATGACTATACAGCCCCGCGTATAATTTTATTTTCTTTTTTTTTCTTTGAAAATGTTTTTTCTAAAAGAAAATAATGGCGCGGATTTTTTCATGAAGAATTCAAAATCGTTTATTTTTTTAGAAATATATTTTTAACATTTATTCCATTTCACATCCGGTCACCTGTGGAATGTGATTCTCCGATTCTTGCTGGATCCATATCAAATATTCCAAAAATCACCTGCAATTGTCGTCACCTCCTTAACTCATCAATGACAACCGCCTGTCACCATCTATCAAAGTGAGCTCGCCAGTCCATTGCCATATATTTTTTTTGCGATTTGATGAGCCAATTAAAATCATTTCAATTGAATATAAATTGAATTGAAAATAAATTGTGAAATTACTTGAGAAAAATATTCAACAAAATATAAACAAACATGCATAAATTTATTTCTGCTTGAAAACGAAATTGGATTTAGAATGCACTATAGAGGAAAAACATTTTTTTAACAGCTTTGAAAAAGGTTTTTTTTTAAATATACGACTACAACTGAGTCAAAAAATATTTTCAAAAGAAAATGGAACTGCTTTAAAAAGTATTTTAAATTAGGTTTTAAAAAAATTGCATAAATATCCACATTTTCTAAGGTGCTACTTGAAAAAATATTTCTTCAAATTTCTCCCACCTATTGTTACTGAAAGAAAAATAATGGTAAAAAATATACGCACGAAATAAAATATTCTTTAAAAAATCGTAATGATAATGTAAATCCTAAATAATATATTTACAAATTCATCAATAATATTCACAACAAATTCAAATCGAAGTAAAGTACGCCCCTTAAAAGCAAATCATACAACGAAGCAATTCAAATGTTAATTTGACAATAAACATCGAAAAATTACCAAAAAAAAACACTTTAAAAAATGTGCCCTATTGTAACAAAGGGCACGTGCTATATAACTTCCATATTTATTCCGAAACAAACACTTCCGCATTATTTTTTGTTTACCACAAATGTCAGTGCAAGGTGTTTCTGGTTTGTTAAAAAATATGGATCAGTAGGTTCCCAATATTTAGGGCCCAGCCAAAAAAGGGTTGTGCATTTGTTTATTTCCGGTAAGGGGTGGAGGGGATGTCATCAAATTCAAAATTCATTTATGGTAGTAATTTTTTGTTGGCTAGACTTTACAAATAATTATCATGTTTAAATAATTTTAATTCCACACAAATTGATGCCATCTAAGGCGATATGACATAAGGAGAACCATATATATAGACTTACAACAAATCATGATTACATCCGAGTTTTAAATAATATTAATATCTTAAAATAATCATAAAAAATGTGGATATTTAGAAAACCTATTTTTTTCAATTTTAAACATGGCCTCGATTTAAAAAAAAAAACTAGTTTAAAAATATACTTCATCGTTCTAGAAGGTAGATCTGATCGTCATGGGAGTTAATAGGCAGTTTTGTTTCCGAAAACTCGGTTACAATATTGGATATGGGGGGTAGAGAGTTGAAAAAGATGCCCAAACGCTTCGAAAAACGGAAAAATTGAGTGTATTTATATAAAAAGGCTATACCTAAAACTGAACCTAAAACGACAATTTTTCGAAATAACTTTTCCTATGTTTGAAAAATTGGAAAATCAATAAAAAAAAATAGCCCTTCAAGTTGGAAAATAGCAAAAAGTCGGAGGCTGTGTCTATTGATCAACTGATACAGACCATCGTGTTTTTATTTTTATTATTTTTTTAGGCATTTTTCCGAAGAAAAAAAGTATTAAAACAGACAGAGGGACGGACATGACTAAGTCGTCTTCGTATTCTAAGCTCATATTCAATTTTGGGGTCCTAATTTACTTTCAAGAGTCACAAACGGAATGACACCGATTATATCCTCCCATATGCAAAATACAAAAAAATCAGCCCTCCTTTTTTTCATCTGAAGAAACGAAATACCAAATTACAGACACTCAGGTTGGAAAATACGGGTAACACCGGGTAAGACTAGGTTAGGTTAGGTACGATAATTTAGAACACCAAATTACAGCCATTTTGGATTATATGCCAATAATAAGCCAAGGCCTTGATTTGAGTGTGATATAAAAACATGGACATACATAGAAAATATTCTTTAATTTTCACCTTTCCGTAGCCTCAAATTGCAGCCCTTTGGTTTGGAAAATGCAATCTTGAACCATTGAAATATTTTAAATGTGGAAGAAGCCTTTTATGGGATCTATTTCAGTAAATTGATCTAAACTAAACATAATCGATGGAGAAATACATCTAGAGGCTACCTTTTATAACGTTGGCTCTCTCTCTCTCTCTAGATTATGTAGATCGTTCCTGACACTCCTGGTTAGGGAAGTTTCATACCCGATATGATGGTTAGGATGATTACCCCTCTTAAGCTGACGTAAGGGAAGGATCTTCGTCTCCTTGTGTAAATGGTCCAAAGTTGCAATTCTCAGGGTTGCGTTTTGAAAGGTCTGAATACTTATTCATTGCGTAGCACTAGTAGCTGAAGAGCGACCTATAGCTTTGTAAGAGATCAACAAGGTTTCTTTATCTGCTGCCAATAAACGATCTTGTTCCTATAAAAGTGATATGCGCGGATTTGAATATGGTATCGAATATCAACCCCGAGAATTGTGCACATTCAATGCCATTCTCATCTCCGCAGTACATATGGTCAACAATATGACCGAAGATTTCGTGGCGGATATTTTCATATTCCTCGCGTGGAAAAAGGCTGCTAAATCGACGATATAGGCGTTGAAACTTAAATATATCGCGCATTTGCTGTAAGACAGGCATAACTCAGTACAAAAACCGATTTGGCAGAAAATGCGTTTTATGTTTTCAATTTACTCACACTTTATATGGGACAGAGGAACTTCTACAGCTTCTCAATTAGAGTGTGTAAGAGATATTCATATGAATTTTTTACACAACATGAGGTCTTTTATAGCGAACAATCGTGCATCATTAACTTCAAAATCGTGAATCATTAACTTGAGTTGTGCCAGTCTTGCAGCAAATGAGCGATATGTCCTAAACATTAGGGCCCAACGCCATTATCGTACATTTATCTGCATATGTACGTAACAGAGTTCCGGAGATATCATTTCACCCTGAGGAACTCCTTGTTTCAATCTACGGAGTTTGGACTTCATATTTTGGAACTCTACGTATGGCTGGTGTCCACACATTTAACTGATTGTCCAACCTTTCAAACTTGGCCGGAGGTAAGTGTTCACGATGTCCTCAAACAATGTGGCATGATTGACGGTATCAAAGTCTTTTAATAGACCAAGCGCTGCATACAAAATTCTATGGCACGTCCGGTTCTGATTAAGTCCTCGACTAATATGTGTGGAGATAGCGTTCATCATTGTTGTTGTGCTGTATTGCTTACGGAACGCAAATGGATAGCTATATTGTAAATTCGTATCGTGAGCGCATGGTTCCCAGAATTCTAAATAGGTTTCATTCCTGCCAGCTACGATGGACACACATCACCTATATAATACAGAAGACTACGGATATAAAAACATCTAAAAAATGGAGAAATTTGTTCTTATAAGCGGGTTTTTTCTTATATGAATGTATTTTATATAAAAAAACAGTTTTCTTATATCGGTGTAACATTTCCTTATGCCCGTGTTTTTCTTATAAAATTAACTACTGTACTTATCCATCCGAGCCAACAAATCTTCTTCCCATTGACTCATAGCTAAAGCCAAAAGATGGCACAATTTCTTAAACTTTTTCTTCCGAACCCAATTCCGTTCACATATACGCTAATATATTTCTATTTCCTTTCTATTATCAATCAATATTTTCAGCAAAAAAACTTTTTCATACCATCAACAAAATCAGTTCTAAATGTACCTAAGCTGACAACATCCAAGGCCGATTTATGGAATGCTAAGCAGTTATTTCGATGAGGCCGAACACTAAGGTTCATCTTCATCTGTGGTGTAGTAAATGTTAAACATTGTCCTTCTCTCCCTTTTATGGTATATACTGGCGATGACATCATTCAACCATTTTCTTCTATTTGTTTATCCTTTCACTTTATCATCAAAGAAGTCCATAAAAATTTCGTTTAATGTCCTTTTTATGGTGATTCACTATATTTATAGGCTAAAACTTAAATGTATGTAATTAAAATGTAACAAATTTCTTTTCTACAAATTAAATTAAGATACTTTGCAGCAGAGTATTTACAAATTAAACTTCATCCTCGTTCAATAGCATATTGGGTATGCCGTCTGTTATGGGAAAGACACGACCGGTTTCTGGACATTCCAACTGGCCTTCTAAAACATCAATTTCCAATAAGAGATGATGTAGACGCTGCAGCAGCTCTTCATTGTCAGCAACTGCGGCTGGCTGTTCCGCGGGTATGCTATCGGCTAATTCAACCTGGCAAAAAAAGGCAACAACAATGGAATGGAATTATTAAACGTTCATGGAAGGTACTTCATTGACCTCCACAACTTACAGTTTGCGCCGCCAAATACACCGTATTCCAATCTAATTTTGGCAATAGCCGTTCAATGAAATTCGGATTGAATTCCGTTTCCACAACATCCTTTTTGGTGATCTGTGGGTGGGAGAGAACATCAGGTGAATTGTTTTAGAGTAAAAAAATCGTTGGTATTTTTAATAATTACCGTCAATTTCAAGGGATAGCCAACTTTAACACCCTTTATGGCCTTGGAGGTGAGGAAATTGTAGGTGCTTAGTTTCATTTTTACTTAAAAGAATTAAAATTTGCCAGCGGCCAACAAAAGGAGCACGTTTTTGTCAATAAATACAATTTTTGGTAAACAAAACGAGACGGCACAGTGTTGCACCGCTAAGTACTGTACACAATGAATTGTTTGGTACTGTGTTAAAATGAAATCCAATAGATGGCGTTATGTTGGTTGTTATCAGGGTGCGGAAAACTATTAATTACTATTATTACCGTTGTGAACTATGTTCAAACAACTTAAACCAGAAAGGAAAGTAGTAAAGTCGAACTGGGCCGACTATATGATACCTTCACAACTTGGGGTATATTCTACATATATATCCTAAAAATATGCTGATAATGTTCCCTCGATGGAAGCAATGGGAGCTATATCTAAATCTGAACGGATTTTCACAAAACTTAGCATATATCATTCTAGATTTAATTCAATTCTCTATGCCAAATTTCGTGCGAATCGAAGGCTATAAACATACTTTAGTGCACTATTTACCTAAAATCGGACCAAAATGTATATGGGAGCAATATCTAAATCTGACCCGATTTTCAAGAAATTTAACACAAATTGTTCTAGACTTAATTTAGTATACTATGACGAGTTTCATGTAAATCGAAGGATATATAGGTACTTTGGTGCACCATTTAACTTAAATTGGAAGAAAATATATATGGGAGATTTATCTAAATCTGAACCGATTTTCACAAAACATAGCACATATCATTCTAGACCTAATTCAGTACGCTATGCCAAATTACGTGCAAATCGAAGGATATAAAGGGACTTTTGTGCACTATTTACATAAAATCGGAAGAAAATAACACACATCAATCTAGACCTAATTTAGTAAGCTATTCCAAATTTCGTGCAAATCGAAAGAGAATATAGGTACTGTGGTGCACCATTTTCCTTAAATCCGACGAAAGTATATATGGGAGCTGTATCTAAATCTGAACCGATGTTCTCCAATTTCAATAGGGTTTGTTCTTGGGCCAAGTAAGTAAGAAGTGCCAAATTTCATCCAAATCGGATTATAAATGCGACCTGTACTTCGTTTACAATTTAAAATAACATACGGACGGATGGAGGGGCATGCATAAATCCACTCAGAAGGTGATTCTATGCATATTCTCAAAAGGAACCATGGGTCTATCTCGTTTTTTTATGCCTGTGTGTGAAGAGTATACTAATTGACAGTCGGTGTTGTCGACAGATATATACGGAGTAAAACGCAGCTTTTTATTATTGGCTTTATATAAGGTATATGTTTTTTGAAAGTGTTGACCCTATTTGGAGAATTTCTAGATGAGGTTGCCTATAGACCGCATCTTAGAATTTAATGCAGATTTGGAAAAATATTATATTTTGCAAAGTTTGGATCAAATCAGACATTCCATTATCTTGATATTGGATTAACAATTTTTCAAAATGTTAACACTTTGTGCGGTAACAGCCAGAATGAGTGGACCAACGGGTCCCATATTCAAGCGTGAGCTATGTAAGTTAAATAGAAAATGTGATGAAATTGGATATTCCGTTCGCTCCATATACGATTTACATGTTTTCAAAATCGTGACCCTTTATAGGGGAAGTACTAGAAGGAATGGACCGCTAAGTCCCATCTTTCAACAATATACAGAACATTCTCTCTCCAGAGGGAGAGAGACAATTTCCTCATTCTTCCAACTTACTTAATGTTGGAAAAAAATGTTAGTTTGGATCAAGTTGAAAATTTTGAACCATTGTGGGATCTCATCTTCGGATTTGTTCTAGGATCGTTTAATATAATAGGTTATGCAAAGTTTCGTTCAAATCAGATAATCCGTTAGCATATTTTTAGCATTATTTGATCATACCACAAGTAATGGACTGATATCCCAAATTTTGGAACTAAAACAAAGTTTTTAAAAAATATTACGATTCCAAAGTTTGGATGAAATCGGTTACCCCCTTCGAGAGTTATCGTATGTAGCAGCCTGACAGACAGGCAGACATTTATAAATCAACTTCAAAATGTCTGAAACGGATTTGGTCCAAAGAGACATGGGATCTAAAAACAGTATTTAGATGAGGCACATTTTTGCCGTATCAAACTTTATTCGTATTTATAAGCCATATAAAAGGGGTATAAAATGGTTCAAAAGTACAAATTTTGCTTTGGTTTTGTAACAGAGTAAAGGAAAAGTCTATTACAAAATTTAGGGATAGTCGCAGCATTTACATAATACCGACTAAAAACGACTACGCCTACGAGAGCTGGCGTACTACGGCTAAGCCTATCGAGACAATTGAAAAACTATTAAAAAAACATTTGTTTTTAATGAGGTTAACCCCTATATTTCTAAAAACCCTGTAATAGATTCTTGCATGCTCTGGAGTTGTGTTTACCATTTAAACGCGTTCTTTACATTGACAGTTTCATTTAAAACAACTTCATATAAACGTTGTTTAAATCAATTCTCCCGTTTCATACAACAGCGTCATCTCTACATTGATAATTTAGTGTAAAAACGGCCGAGTACATCACGGTACTGTACATAACACAACTGTGACAGTGTCAACAATGCAAAGTGAGTGTCGGCTCTTCTTCTTCTAATTCAGTATATTTCTAATTTCTGTAGTGCATTTCCATTGGCAATCCGTTGTTATTTTCATAAAAAATTATAAAGAATTCGTAAAATTTTTTAAACAATTCACGCCCACAGCAGCTTCCCACATTTGATAGAACAAAATTAAAAATGGAGGACATTTTCCATTGGTGTCGTGAAGGAAATTCAATACAAGTCCGTTTATGGCTGGACGATGTGGAACATGACATGAATTTGGGGTAAAGATTTCTTTTAGAAAAAAATGGATAAATAAGTGAATAAATAAACATTGAAAAAAAAAAGAATGGAAGAAATTCTGTTGTGACCCACCTTAAATAAATGAAGTTATGCAAAATGTAATAACAACAACAACATCAAGTGATCAAATCATTATGACCCTCATCCATAAAACTCTGCTGGCAATTTGTTGTTGCTGTTGTGCAAAAACAATGACGTCATGTTTTTATTTTTATCTCAAGAAAATTTGAATATCAAAAAGATTGGTGTTATTAGAATTATAATTAGTGTGTCTGCTTTGCTGTCTCTGAATTTGTCTGACAGCCAGCCAAGGCAGCAGCATACACCTACTTTTATTAGGTGCATACATGGGTGTGCGTGCGTGTGTGTATGAGAATTTGTGTGTGTGCTATGCTTTTGTTGGGTGATGTTATTTTGGCGAATGATAAATACTTGGAAATGGGAGAGAGGGAGAGTACAAATCATTGAGTGAATTGCTTGGCATAGAAGGAGAGCGTGATCAATCAAAGCAGCATTATGCTCAATGTAAACAATGCAGAAGTCATTCATGAAACAACACCCACAAGGCACAGGAAATTTATTTCTGATTATTTTTCAATGAATTATTACAGATAAATTGTTATTTATGTAATTAATTATTTATCTTTCTTATTTTTGTAGTGATGATCATGGCTTCAGTCCGTTGCACTGGTGTGCCAAAGAGGGCCACACAAAATTGGTTGAAACCCTTTTGCAAAGGGGAGCTCGCGTCAATGCCACAAATATGGGTGATGATATCCCTCTCCATCTGGCCGCCGCCCATGGTCATCGTGATGTTGTCCAAATGTTAATACGTGAACGTTCCGATGTGAATGCGGTCAATGAACATGGCAACACCCCCTTGCATTATGCCTGCTTCTGGGGCTACGATATGATCTGTGAAGATTTGGTAAATGCTGGAGCCTCAGTGACAATTGCAAATAAAGATGATCACACACCATTGGATAAAGCCAAGGCTGGTTTGGCAAAACGCCTGCAAGACTTGGCCGAACGTAATGGCCAGGAAATGAAGAAAATTAGTTTTAAAGAACAAAGTTGGATGGGTTTCAAGACAAGATCTCGAGATGCCACCCTGTCACGTTTCAAGGGTATCAGTATGGGTGATTTGGATTTACACACAAAAATGGCCGTAACACCATCGGGTGAAACATGGCGTGGTCGTTGGCAAAAGAATGATGTTATAGCGAAAATTCTGGCCATACGTCAATGCACTTCGAGAATATCGAGAGATTTTAATGAGGAATTTCCTAAGCTGAGAATTTTCTCTCACCCGAATATTTTGCCAATTATTGGAGCGTGTAACTCACCGCCTAATTTGATTGTTATTAGTCAGGTGAGTGCAGGTCAATAAAATTATTTAATTTATAATTAATGTCTCTCATTCTCTTGTAGTTTATGCCTCGTGGTTCCTTGTTCCATTTGCTGCATGGAGCCACCGGTGTTGTCGTGGATACCTCACAAGCTGTCCGATTTGCCTTGGACATTGCCAGAGGTATGGCTTATTTACACTCACTGGAAAGAATTATACCAACCTATAACCTGAACAGTCATCACGTTATGGTGAGTTTTACACTAAGAGAAAGGAAATCTTGAAACAGAAAATCCAATAAATACCTTCGAGAGATCTTTTAGAAATAAGGATCCTTAAAGAGATAAACAACTTTCCGAGGTTTTCTAAAGATAAGAAACTATTTTGAGACCATCCCGTGGTTTTCTATAGATACAACATTCTGAAGAATCTTTCGCCTCTGAAGAAATTTTTAGTATATAGAAGATGTATTCTGTCTATAGAAGCTCTCCGAAGCTTTCTTCTGTCCGAAGAAGTCATCTAAAGGGGTATTCTTTCTATCGCTGAACAGGTTTTCTGTCTGTAGAAGACATTTGCCTTCTGTTTACAGAATACCTCTGAAGGTGTCTTCTGTCTATAGAAGTTCTCTGAAGGGGTTCACTGTCTATAGAAGTCATCTTAAAGCATCTGTTCTCTATAGAAGCTCTCTGAAATGGCCTTCTGTTTATAGAAGTCTCGAAGTGGTCGTCAGTCGGTAGATCATGGTCGAATTAATAATTTTTTTCAAGGTCCTAAAGCGTGGATTTTATAAAAAAATCAAGGACTTAAGGTGTGGATTTTTTAAAGAGTAAGGCGTCGATTTCATGTTTTTCAAGTTCCCACTAAGGTGTGGAATTTTTAAAGAATATTTTTTCAAGGTCCTACTAAGGCGTGGATTTTTTAAAGAATATTTTCTTCAAGGTCCCACTAAGGCGTGGGTTTTTTAAAGAATATTTTTTCAAGGTCCCACTAAGGTGTGGGTTTTTCAAAGAATATTTTTTCAAGGTCCCACTAAGAAGAACAATCCATAGGATTTTTATATATAGAAGTGGATGCAGGACTTTTTGGATTGTACAAGTTCTTGCAAAGAAAAAAGAGTGTCCAGAAGTCTTCTAAAAATTGAATACCATCCAGAGGTCTTTTTGAAGTAAACACCTTCACGCATTGAGAAAAAAGACCTTGTAGATCATTTTTTGAACAACTGAAGATTTTTAAAGTTTTTTTTTTAATTGAAGCTAATAAATTTGTTGTTGTTTCAGATCGATGAAGATTTAACGGCTCGCATTAATATGGGCGATGCGAAATTCTCGTTCCAAGAACGTGGACGTATTTATCAACCGGCCTGGATGTCACCAGAGGCTTTGCAAAAGAAACCTGCCGATCGTAATTGGGAAGCTAGCGATATGTGGAGCTTTGCAGTACTCCTATGGGAGTTGACCACCCGGGAAATTCCCTTCGCCGAATGGTCACCCATGGAATGTGGCATGAAAATTGCACTCGAAGGATTGCGTGTCAAAATACCACCCGGCACATCACCACACATGTCCAAACTGATAAATATCTGTATGAATGAAGATCCTGGAAAGCGGCCAAAATTCGATATGGTTGTGCCGATTTTGGAGAAAATGAAACGTTGATATTTCAAATTTGATTAATTATTTTGTTGAGATACAAATTTGCCAAAATTTATATTTATTTACATATATGTGTTTCAGTGTGTGTGTGTTTTCTTAAATGCAATAATACCTACAAGGAACAAATGTGCCTTACAAAAGTAGTTGAAGAATAAAAACCGAATATTATATTTGATAGGAATTTTTATTAATATGATGTTTCCCAAAAACGGTGCTCGTTTTCCTTTCTATATTTTACTAATATTTTGTTTAGCTAACAAATTTCAAGAATTTTTCACTCTCTTTATTTTTGTCAACTCTATTAACATGGAGCAAAAAAATAATCTCTAAGCTATAAATAAATGTATTTTTTGTATTTATATATATTTTTTAATGTTTATTAAAATTACAATTATTTAATAATGAAAAACAAAACGCCAATATATTAACTATATTTTTTTATAATGAAAAAGAGAAACGAAGTAGAAAAAAAACAATAAAATAACCAAAACAAACCATAAACAGCTTTTTGCGGAATTTCCTAGCCGGTCGTTTTCGACAAGGGGTTGGGTTGTTAAGCCTTTTCGTCCTTTTCGAGAGAGAGAATAAAAATTGGTTTCCTACAGAGAGAGAGACAGAAAGCTTTTACAACATCTGCTAGTGTGAGACCAAATGTTTATCCCCTGTTTTTTGCCTTCATTTTGTGTGTTTGTTTATCGCGAAAATTGAGCACAACGTCCCTGACCTACTTTACGGTGTTGAGAGTTGGAAATGCAGGAATAAGGAAATGAAAATAATACGAACAAAATGTTAGGGTGTGTGTGTGATAAACGAAATCGGCTGTGTAAGAGAATTTGTATTTCACTCTTATTGAAAAAGTTTTTTAGTGGTTGTGATAGGACACTAGCAGAAAAGGAAGTGCTGGATTTTCTAAATCCGTTAAAATTTAAATTGAAGGGAGGAATAATCGAATAAATCGGTTGCATGACGACGTAAGCATAATCGTATTCATAGAACACATCTCAGAGTATTCCCTTCATTTACGATCTATGGAAGGTACTTTGGGTGAGTGTGAATTTTCGAGGGTTTGTGCCAGAATGTGGATTGTTTAGAAAAATATACTTTTACCAAAGGTTATGTGAACATTTTTAAAAACTACTTTTTCAAGGACCAAAGATTTTTTGAACCAAAAATATTCTTTCAACGACCATATAGATGTTTTAAATAATATTTTTGAGGTTTCTTCAGAGCGAGGATTTTTATTCATAATTTATATTTTGAGGGTCTCTTAGAGCGGGTATTTTTATGAATATTATGAAAGGTTTACTCAGAGCACATATTTTTTAAAGGATATGTCGGAGCGTAGCTCTGACGTATGTTATGAGAGAACGTGGTTTTGTATGTATTTTATATGGTAAATTTTTGTTTAAAGTTGTATCAGAAGTGCGTAATTTTTTAAGGGATATATCAGAGGTGCGTATATTTATTAAGAGATATATAATTAAAGGTATCAAGATATATCAAAACGTAGATTTTATACAGGATATGTCAAGGTATATCATATCGCAGATTTTTAATGGGCATATCAGTAGAAAGTAAATTTTTAAGGTTTTAGAAGTAGTTTGTAAATGTCTTAGGGTAAATCAGAACGTAGATGTTTTAAAGGGTATACGTCAGAGCTTAGAGTTTAAAAGGGTATATCTGATAGTAGATTTTTTAAAGGTTAAATCAGGGGAGCATAGATTTTTTAAAGGGTATATCTGGATAGAACAGATTTTTTTTGAGCGGTGTATCGGGGCATAAATGTATTGTATGATATTTTCAGATGGTATATCAGAGCATAGGCTTATAAGGATTTTTTTTGAGCGGTGTATCGGGGCATAAATGTATTGTATGATATTTTCAGATGGTATATCAGAGCATAGGCTTATAAGGCGTTTATCGTTGGTAACAGCTATCTTAAGGTTTTTATCGTCAATAAAAGACAATTTAAGGCTTCTATTGTCGATTTCAAAATGTATATCAGAGCGTCGAGATGTATGTAATTATATATTGAGAGGATATTGTGTGGACCTAAAATCTGTAATACCCCGAAATATTGGTCCTAGACATTTTGCGTGTAGGACGAGTTCTGCCCAAAGAATATCCCTTATAGGTTTTTTGGTAATGATCTCTTTGGAATGATCATTGGGAATGAAATGAACCAAAAACCTGTTTTTCTGGTCGCTCTTGAGGCCACAATTAAAAAATCCCGAACATAACGAAATATTACACAGACGGGGATCTGGTCATAAAATCTATTTATCGTGTCAAATGCTAACGTTTGTGCGAAAATATAGCGCGGATCGCTATGAAATTATACACGATGTTCCGATAAAGCCGAACATCACATATTTTAAACGGGGAAAGAACTATCCAACTATTTATTTAGGATCAAGTGAACCAAGACTTTTGTGTGTAAAATACCAAATTTGAATCGCATGGCGTACATTTTTTCTCTGATAAAACGTGGTTCGTAAAATATGCCAGGTTGAGAGATGAGCTCCTGACCTCTGATCGATTAAAATGATCCAAATATCGCGAAGTCTGGTCCATGTACGGAATATAGATTTACAGAAAATTTGATTTCGGTATTTAAAACATTTTTTAAGTTTATTTTGTCCCGGTCCACACTAAAGTAACTTCATAAAACATATTTCATTCAATGATACTAAAATCTATCCTATATCAATAGTCCTATCTATGTTAGTTACACACTTAGTTGGTTTCCTGCAAACAGTAACGAATTTAATGAAGCTGAACGCTTAATCTGCCGTTTGTTACCACAAAATCTGTCTTTAGAAATATAGGTACACACTGAATATGAAAAAATTATCTGGAAATAATGGTTTTAGGCCTTGATTATTTTATGAAAACTACAAAAAAAATAGGCATTCTGCCACAGCCCATAGGGAACTTTAAGAGAAAATTGTGGTTTAATTACTCGTTCAAATACGTGTAAGTGAATGAACAACATGATCGTATGTGGCGTGGTCATTTCTCCCCGAAAAAAAGCCACTGTTTGTTGCGCCCTTTGGTCCAAAGGTGAGGACTGTACCTTACTTCTTCGAAAATGTCACCGACAACTGTCACCAACAATACAGAGCATTGGTTGGTAACCAACTTTTATATATGTGGTTTCAACCAGACGATACCAAATGCCACAAAACTCGAGCAAATGTGTTTTTTTGCTTGGTAATTTTCCGTCGAGGCGATACCAACCAACTGGCCACCCAGTTCATGCGATTTGACATCATTAGACATATTTTTAATGGGGCTATGCAAAATCTGGCAGATGAGTTACTTCTCTGACACCCAAATTGCCGAAAATGTTAAAATAGGAAGTAGTAGTTGTTGTAGTTGTACTGACCTACTGTTTTTGCAACTCGCAGACATACTGTGACACTGATTGGTTAAGTAAACTTAATTTTGTAAATGGAACATACATACTGGTAAACATAGTTCAGATACTCTAGTCTTCCCATTGGACACAATGGTCATTTATAGCTCCACCATATAGGTAGAGGCAAACACACCTTATTGTTACTGTCCCATATTGATATATCGTCCTTCTATGTAGTCCCTTATCGTACTTTTATATAGTCGTGACACTCTATATTTTCCCAATTTCGGTGTGAACACAATGAGCCGGAGGTACGCCGGTGGTGAAGCTGCCGCTGAGTGGTCCTTAAATCTATACTACACTTACCGCAGTATATTTGATTACTGTAAATAGAAGAAAAATACAATAATTATTTCAAGGAAGCTCGTATATGAAAAAAATACATACTTTTCATTGCCTGAGAGTGGGGATAACCATGTTGGATATAAGCTGGAAACCACAATAAGCACTTTTTCTTTTTATAGATTTTAACACTATATACCTGCATATATATTTTATTATTTAAGACATATTTTACTCCATTGATCCTTTGGATCATCTTTTATTTTTTTCTAATTGGCCATAATTTATTTGACAAAGCAAACACACATTTACACTCACACACAATGGACACCGGGGGATAACAAACCACAAAATATAACTTTTTTTCTTTTATTTTTCGGATTTTTGACAAGGATACCAATTTTCATTATTTTATTAAATTTTTTTTATACATTTTTTCAAGAAATTTGTTAGAAAAACGCGCGGAAACTTTGACACAATGCCAAAATATCGTCGTCGGTGTCAAAAATACAACGCGGGAGACGGACGGTTAGGGAGCCATGTAAACAAATGAGAGACCGAAGAGAGATTTGTTGGGGGAGACATAGGGAAAACAAAACTGGAAGCCACAATAAAAAAACTTTTTATTTTTATAGATTTTAACATTATTTTAATTTTTCTTTAGGCAAGATTTCACTTCCACGATCCTTGGGATCACCTTTCATTTTTCCAATTGGCCACAATATAATTCGCAAAGCAAACACATATTTACACACACACGGACACTGGGGTACAACAAGCCACAAAATACAACTTTTTCCTTTATTTTTGGAAGATTTTTTTTTAAATTTTACAATTTTCCAATGGCACATTTGACAAGGATACATATTTTCATTATTTAATTGCCTTTTTATACAAAATTTTATATTTTTTCATGAAATTTGTTAGTAAAACGCGCGAAAACTTTGACACAATGCCAAAATATTGTCGTAGGTGTCAAAAATACAACGCGAGAGACGGACGGTTATGGAGCCATGTAAACAAATGAGAGACCGAAGAGAGATTTGTTGGGTGAGATGTGGGGAAAGCAAAACTGGAAGCCACAATAAAAAGACTTTTTATATTTATATTTTTTAACATTATTTTCATTTTTCTTTAGCCCACATTTCATTTTCACGATCCTTGGGATCACATTTCAATTTATTTTCCAATTGGACGCAATTGGAATTTGACAAATCAAAGGCACAAACATTTACACTCACACAATTGACACTGGGGGGCCACCAAGTATAACTTTTTTCCTTCATTTTTAGCATATTTT